CCCTCTTCACCCCCTTCTTTGGACTGAAACAGCTAGCGATCCGAGTGAAAGAGCCTTGAGAAGCCACAGAGCGCCACCTGCTAAACGGATGTACGAAGTCTCAAGCAATCACAGTTCGAGGAAAATTTAGTTGCGCTCATTCATACAGGTTCCCCCGCTTTCACGGCAGAGCGTTGGCCATACTTGCTATTAAATGCCAAAAAAAAAAAAACAGGCAGTAACCAGATCTTTAAACAATCACTGCAGCTAAAAGAATATAGAAAACTCACAAAGTCCTCTAGCGAGTGCACCTTCAAACGCGAAGTAAACCGGCACTGTTTCGCGAAAACTGACATTTGTCGATGGAACCATGCGATGATGGCAACAGAATGTGTCGCATGAATGTACGACCCTCATAAAGGCCCAAAAAACACCGCCAATTTGTCGTGAAACCGAGATGATTTGGGGATCGCCATTTCGTTGCATTTCGCCGATCATCGGCATGCTGCTGAAATGTAGCAAAATTGGCAGTGAAAAATCTTTTTTTTTTTTTTTGGATTATTCGAAATTCTACCGAACTCGTATTTGAGCGCTATGCAGCACTATTGAAAGAAAAGCTAGTCCCTGAAGCGATGGCAGGGTCCCGTTGATGGCTGGGTGCGCAGACAGAGGGCCAGAACATAAATTGCTGCTTTTTCCAATTTCTAAGCCCTTTGACTGAGACTAATTTTTCATCCATGTCTATGATACTGCACTTTGCGAACCAAAGAACAATTCAAAATAAGGCAAACGGCGAATCTTTCAAACAGGCTGTTCTGAGATGGTATACCCAAAAGCTAATGCTGAAATTGGCTTATGCAGGTAAAAACCAATTCGCGTTGAATACTAGAACTTTTTTACTCTCCTTTAAAAAGACTGAAAAAAAAAATGCTTTGTGGCAGCAGTCCGCTTTTGGTCCTGCTGAATAAAAACTGTCGAAAACGGAGTTTACAAAACAACATTTACTGTAAAAATTTCCAGCTCATCTCGCCTGCCACCAAAAAAAAAGATTTAAAAACTTACAAAATGTAACAAAAAAGTTTGTGATACTTGGCTTGTGACATAAAATTAACAAAAAGTCTAAAAATCTTGCTATTCATACCACTTGTCTAACAACATTCTGAGATAATGGCAAAATATAAATTATTAAAAATATGCAGAAACCGGTGAATCAAGGGCATCAATGCATTATTAGAAGAAAGGGTACAGCAGATACAGGGTCCTGTTAAAATAAAGCGCATTTTTTCAATTCGCATCTGTCATCTTCACTACGTAAACCCATTATCTCGTTACAACTGCCCGAAAAGTCGTTCCCCCTTCTTCGAAAATGCTCCGTGATACGCAGTGTCCATCGGTTGCCAGCAAAGTCAATAACACTTCTAACTCATCAAAACTTATTCAATTGATTACACCCACAATTCTTTATAATGGTTCAAGGCCAGGGAGAGGTATTTCAAGGCATTTCCTGCGGCTTTCTGTTGCAGCCAGCAACCCGTCGGTGATCATATTTCATACTCCTACGTCACTGCCCAGAAAAGATGGTACTGAAAAGACAGCAAAGCTCTTTCACAGCAACTGGTATTTCGAGGGCGTTAGGAGGTGCTATAAAAGTAGCGTCATCCGCCAACTCTTCGACATGCATCTTCTGGCTGGAGATTGTGTCGCATATTAAATGATACAACTGTGGCTATACTGCTTCTGATCAGTAGTCAACTTTATAATGAAAGCTCAAGTATTTCTAGTCACTAATTAACAGAAAGTTATGGTGGGAAAGAATCTCCTAGTCCGGCGAAACATGAAAATTATGCTTTTCGAGAGGGAATGCATACTGCTTAGAGGGTTCAGTGCCAAGCAAAAACTAACCAAATAGTCGACAAATGTCTCGCCAATTGAAATTAGATACATATTCCATGCAGCAAAAAGTCCAAGAATGATAAATAGAAGTGCTGCAAGGCCATAAACAAAACACACAGTACTGTTCAGGAAATTCGGCATCATCTCACACAGCCAATCATGCCATGGCGCTAACAACACATCTTGGGCGCAATACGGAACCGGTGAAAAGCGCTGCAAGGTAAAATGCAAATACAGTACAAGACAAGCAGTGCCGCTGGAGTTTTTCATGTTCGAACGGTTTTCATGCAAAAAAAAAAAAAAAAAAAAACATCAGACATCATTCAAACCCAACCC